GGCAGCTGCAAGACAAAAGGTTGAAAATGTCCTCGGTGACCTTCCTCATCACCCCAAGGCAGGGTCACGGCACTAACCTGGGGGGCAGCCACTATCCCCAATCCTTGGAGTGTGTTGTCAGCTGTGTTGGTAGGCCAACTAGGGGTGGTGTCAGCATATATATGGACACATCGACCAATCACATCAAAGTAGGCAAGACGAGCTGATTGGCCAGCGTCAGCTGTTGCTGGGCAGACTAGCTTACAGGGCGTGTTGTTTACTAGCTAGGGAGCAGGAAATGGGCGCCATCTTGGCATACTCGATGGGAGGGGTAATCTAGCTCAGGCTTCACTCCTCACCACAGGCCTCATATCACTCGGTCGACGGGAGGGGCAATCTAGCTCAGGCTTCACTCCTCACCACAGGCCTCATATCACTCGGTCGAGCTCCCAACAGTCAGGTTCATGAAATGAGAGCTTGGCGGGATTCTTGCATAGAGGGACCAACACTGAGGTTCTTTCCAGGAAGCCGAGTTTATCTGGGCTGGCACTGACCTGGTGGATTCACATCTAAAGGCTGAGCCCCAGTATGACAGAGTTTTGCCTTTCATACAATTCTTGTGTCTTTGTCTGTTTATATGGTGACACACTAACAAACTATAGCTGGATTGGGTGCAGTCTGCGTTACAGAGCCGTGATAGAACTGTACATGCATATACAGGAACTAATTGCATCACATTGTCTTTCTTTGTACTAAGAAGGCCCCCACCACAGTTTTGGCGAGAGGCCCAGCCGCATTCCTTGGAGAGGGTCCCGCCACTGGAGAAGAGGCACGTGTTCTTTGTATTTGCTATATTCATGGCTCAGATCCTGAAATACCAGGTTGTCCTGAGAAGGTGGCTTTCATGGCGTGATAGATTTGGGACAGACTCCTGGATTCCTCTTTTCTTGGATGCTGACCCAGTTAATGAACCCAGGTTAGGAGCAGGAAGATTTGCAAACATTGAGAAGTAAAAGTAAAAGTAAAACTTTGGAGCCTTCACTGTACATATTCAACTGGAAAGAGGATGCTAACTCGGGTTCTTTTTTCTTTTTCTTTTTTTTGTGGTACCGGGGATCGAACTCATGACTGCGCGCTTGCCAGGCAGGTGCTTATGCCACTGAGCTAAATCCCCGGTGCTTCTTCTTTCTTTCTTTTGTTTGGGGCGGGGTACGAGGGATTGAACTCAGGACCTTGCATTTGCCAGGCAGGTGCTGTGCTGCTGAGCTGTATCCCCGACCCTGCCTCTGGCTCAGTACTAGTCTGCTTTGTGCTCCCCTTAGAGGCCTAATGGTGCCTCTCTGGACAAGCTTTAGAAACATAACAAGAAAACACCCAGTATAGTTCCAGTTCCAAGTCAACGTGAGAATTTAGGGATCTGCCCAATGAGGCAGGGGATTGCCCTGGTGGATGCTGTGAGGACAAAGAATGTGTGAGAGGAGTCATCTGCCACAACCAGACTCCTCAGAATGGTGGCCGATAGAAACGGCTCCTCTGGCTGGGGATGAGAGATGTGACGGAGCCTGCCCCCCCCCCCCCCCCCCCCCGCAGGCAAGCATCAGCCCACCTGCGCACAGCTGGTTAGCTTTTGTGGGAAAGTCAGCCTGTGCTTCTTTTTCCCAGCTATGTTTTTGCAGGAGAATGTTGGGATGCTGTTTACTGAATTCACGTTGAGTTTATTTTTGACATGGAATTCAAGTTGACTCTGCAAATATTGAAAAAAAACCCTCCCATTTGCTTTTTTGTCCTACTTTTAAGCTAATGCTAATCAAAAATAGTATTTGATTAACCTCTTGAACGTATTAGTCAAATGTGCCCTGAATCACTAAACTGATAAATTGGATACAATTAATTGCTAGAGGTGATGAACTTGTGAATTGCTGTGTTTTATTCTGCCAGTTTGTTCAAGCTACACCAGGAAGTCTGACGAGAGAATGGTCCCCTAGCCAAGCTCAGTTCTTATCGGAGCAGAACCTGGGAGGACTGGATCTTTCTAGCCATGTCCTAGGCAGCCACAGTAATTGGATAACCTTGAATGGATTTGTTGCTTCTTTTGAACATGGAGCACATTTTTGTGTTTTACACAGATTTATGTATCAAGTCCTGAGTTCACAGCTAGGGTGGAAATTGCTGTTTGTTCATTGTTCTGTATCACCACCGTGTCAACAGGAGCATCTGATCCTGAGCTCTGTGTGTAACATCGAAGTAGCAGAAAGGAGACTGCCATTAACCTTAGCAACTGATCCTGTCTCTCAAAAGAACTGGGTTTAAAGTAATGTTTAGCCCATGGAGAATCCCAGAGGACACACAACAGTGAGAATTATGAGATCCAAATATAGAACCAGGGGGGAAGTCAGCTGTCTGTGGGAGGCGAGGTGCATGGTACAGGAAAACCTCATGGCGGCCAGGAGCAGAGAGGGAAGGGGGAGGCAGAAAGAGAGAGAAAGAGAGAGCGTGCACAAAAGACAGACAGACAGACTGCTGAGACCCCCTAGGGCCTGGCCTACCTTTCAGAACATACTCCAAGTGGCCTTCCATCCACTAGGCCTCACCTCCTAAAGATTCTTCCCCCTCCTAATGGTGCCATCGCTGTGGGTCAAGCATTCTACAAATAAGCTTTTGGGAGGACATTTAAGATTCAAGCTATAAAAGCCAATAAGGAGGAAATGTAAAGCGTGGATTATTTCTTCTGGAAGAAAAAGTCTAAGGGAAACTTTGAAGGCTGTCTTTGAATATGTGAAAAATAGTGATATGCAATATCCTAAGGGTGGTGATATCGTCTCTTTATATATGCCCTGTGGATAAAAATCAATAAAAATTGTTTTAAATTTTACCAAAAGAGATTTAGGTTAGATAGGAATGAAAAAATATTTCTTGCGAGGCAGTGAAAGTGAACACCTAGCAAATGTGTGGACTTCATTTCTCTAGTAAGAATCTGACTGTTCAAAAGTTGATGGATTCAGCAGTTTCATCAAGCAGAGAGTTTTGCTCTTATAACCATTCAGTTGTAGAGTGATAGTTGTCTTCGTGGCAACTCTTCTTGGAAGCAAAAATATCCTTCTCAATATGGTTCCTAGGCAATAGTGACTGTAAATACATTCCATTACGGAATTATTTATTCCCATGTCATTAGGGGAAGTGGGTATTTTAAAAAATACTGTGCTGTAAGTGGATAAAATTCCACACTGAGGGTGATTTTTCTTAAAGCCGCTGAATGACTGGAGCTTTTAAGCTTGGTTTCTCATCACCTGTGATGTCTTCATTCTCAGATCCTTGCTCTAACAGAGGTTTCCTTTCTAAGACGAAAGTTTAGCTGTTAAGCAGACTTTAAACTCATGTCGGTGAAGAGGTTTGTTTCATCTGGCTCTCAACTATTGCCACCTCGCGAGTGGTCATGGCTCTTATGATATTCACAGCTAAACCTCTTGAATGAAGAGCTAAATATTATATTTGTAAAAAGTTGAACAACTTGAACAAGTACTAGAACAAGTACTTATTTTTCATTTTCAATATGTCTTTTCTCTTCACGACACAATGATCTGTAACAATGCATTTTCTTTTTTTAAAAACCAAAAACTCAACAAAATAAATGATGCTTTTAAGACTTGACCTTCTAATGTGATGTGTTAAGGAAATCGCTTATAAAATAAAGATCAGGTCATTGGATAATTTCTGAAAACAAAATCTACCTTGCTTTCATGGAACCATAGTAAATTTCTAAATTGAACAGTGTCTTCTGCTAGTTGAAACTTTTGAAATTTATTTAAATCTGAATCTTTATTTCAAAACTTATTTGAAAATAAAATCATTCCTGGTATAGTCACCACACCTTCTTAATTGTTAAACTTCTGTGATGCTAAACACTGCTGTAATTAGAGATGGTTGATTCTGCAGTTCTCACGAAAGCAAACCACCATGAGAATGAGTAAAGAGCTTACCTCTGAGACAGGTTAGGACCTTTCTCCCTCTTTCCCCTTGCTAAAATCTCACTTTCATTCCTTTTCATTTCTTTGTTTTCTTTCTTTCTTTCTTTCTTTCTTTCTTTCTTTCTTTCTTTCTTTCTTTCTTTCTTTCTTTCTTTCTTTCTTGTCTTTTTGAGACACTGTCATACTATGCAGTTCAGGCTGGCCTTGAACTCACTTTGCAGCCCAGACTGGTCTTGAAATTCCAAGGATCCTCCTGCCTCAGCCTCCTGAGTGCTGGGATTATAGGAGTGTGCCACCACACCTGGCTCCTTTGCATTTTTGCATTCATTTAATTTCTATAGTTGTGATATGAAACTAGGGCCTATTTTTTTTTTCTAATACCAGAGATTCAATGCAGGGCTTTGATATTGAGCTATATTTCCCCCCTTAATTTTTTTAAAAATATATTTTGAGACATGTTCTCACTCCATTGCCTGGAGTGGGCTTGAACTTCTATGTGTTTTCTATGTCAGCCTCCCAGACTACGAGGACTACAAGCATGGTCCATCAAGCCCAGCTTGAATGTAATTTTTAATGCAAATTTTCTACTTCTTCTTCTTCTTTTTTGTTTTGTATCAGGGATCTATTTCATGACTTCACACTTGCCAGGTAGGCACTTATGCCACTGAGCTAAATCCCTAGACCCTCGTCTACTGTTATTGACTTAATTTTTTTTTTTACCAGAGAAGAAAGAATTTGATTTTTTTAAATCAGTGTACTATTTCTCTGATATATTTTTTTCTCTTAATGGGTTTAAAACTCTTAAAAGGAATTCAAACTTAAAAAGTATCTTCATCTCATACAAGTAAGATATATTTGTGCTGTACACATTTCTTTTTTCCCCCTCTCTTGTGGATTAAATATAATTTACCAGATGAAATGGTTCTCATGCTGAGAAGTGTGTTCTCACCCATTCAGACTTTATATTCCTGTGTAAACCCAGACACTGAACTTCTGTGTCTGTGCAGAACGATTGGTTGCCCACGTGTTTTTTTCCCTGTCCTTTATTTGTTCTAGATACAATTCATATTGCTCTTCAGTCGACAAGGGAAATTGCGGCTGCAGAAATGGTACACCACTCTTCCTGACAAAGAAAGAAAAAAGATCACCAGGGAAATTATTCAGATTATTCTCTCTCGTGGCTACAGGACAAGCAGTTTTATCGACTGGAAGGAGTTAAAACTTGTTTATAAAAGGTGTGAGTAACTTTATGAGAAGGGAATTTGTCATTATTGCTTTGTTTGTTCTAATCCTGCACATTTTAGATTGCAATATAAATTGCATCGTTTTCTGCAATTTTTGAAGCCTGGAGCCTAAGATTTGTAGCAGCGGAGTAACTGGTGAAGAACTCCTATTTACTGAAATGACTTTGGGATGTCTGAATGAATTCTAGATGAGCTATGTTTTGATAATGCATATATGAATTTGAGAAATATTTTATGAGCACTTAATACGTTCTTGGCATTGTCTTCATATCTGAGGCTACAGCAGTGAACAAGAAAGACATAGCATTCCTGCTCTTATGGAATGTTTACTTATTAAGTAAACAGATAAAATATTTTCATTTAGGAACCAGTGCTACAGAGAAAGGCAGGATAGGGCATGGAAAGATGGAGACTTGTTCACTGGGCGACTTTTATGTGCTTATTCATGTTTGTGGATGGTAAACTGAGACCCAGAGTTTAGGTACTTAGTTCTCAGTCACAGTAATCGAGTGGTAATTAGCACGGTCAGGACTCAGATCAAGATCTTTCTGGCTTTCAAGCCTAAATATTGTTTTTATTGTACCTGCTTGACGTAGACCATACTAGAAAGAAGACGTAAGAAAGAAACTTCAGTTTATAGGTTAAAAAAAAGAAAAAAAGAGGCCTGAGAGATTTGCCCAGAAAGACCCAGGTAACTGATGCTTCAGCCAGGACCGAACTGTGGCCAGGCTGACCCTGCATCCAGCATCATAAGCAGCAGAGTTTCCTAAAACCCCATGGGTACACTCTGCGGCAGCGCAAGCTTCCTCTGTGGGGCCCAGCTTTAGTCTTGATCCAGTGAGGCACGTTAGAATGGGCACATTACAATGTAGAGTGAAAAGGTGGGGAGCACTGACTCCCGAGAGCCTCATCAGGGGCTTTCACAAAGGCCAGTCATAAGCTGAAAAGAGGCATAAATAAACTTGATTACCGTGGGCCTGGAATACCATCTCCCTGATCATAGCTTTTCAAGGTACAATTTTGTTGAAAGCATTGCATGTAATCGACACAAATGACTCACCCACCACAATATTTTTTATATATTCTGTTTTATATTTGGGGAAGATATTTGAAGTGCTGAATGGTGATTTCACTCTTGGATGGGGAGAATCTGTGGAGAAAAGGAGGTGGTTTCGCATGTTCGTTGGGAAAACGCATCTGTAGGTTGTTTAATGTCTCATCGTATTTGCTTTCTTTATGTTTCTCTTTTCAAGGTATGCTAGTTTATATTTTTGCTGTGCAGTAGAAAATCAAGACAATGAGCTCTTGACACTAGAGATTGTGCATCGTTATGTGGAGTTGCTGGACAAATACTTTGGAAATGTAAGTGTCCTTCTGGTCTGTGAGGATCAGGCACAGACTTCGTCTCAGTTCTTCAGTGTCATCTCTCAGTTCCTTCTCTCTGAGTCCAAAATACAAATTGCATTTGTCCCGGTGACAGTGCGTGTCTGTCTTGGATCAGACATGGGCTCTTCTCCCAGTGTGTAATTCTCAGCAGAGTCTCAGTGGAGACCTTTTTTCAGTGAACCCAAATTTAATCATGAAGGATTTCTTGATTATTCTTTCTCTTACTCTTCCTTGATTTTGTCATCTCCTTTCTACTTTAAATTTCTATCTCTTCTCTTTCTTCCTAAGCTGCAAGTCTTTTAGTATTATTAATACATAAGGGAAAAAGCAAACCAAATCCCCAAATCATATCCTTTCCTGTTGTTATTCTATAATGTTTTATTATTATTATTTGCATTGGCTTCCAGGGCATACTACACCAATATCATATTACAGCTGTCCCAGTCTTCAGAAACGGATCCGATTTTCCTGCCCCAGGAGATCACATCACCACTGAGGCCTCTCATGTTTTCCCCTCCCCACAGCACTGTATCGTTGCTCACTGCAGTGCTTTCTCTGTGTTCTCTCATCTTGGCTCTGTTGTGACCCTGGTCACTTCCTGTCCTATGAGTCTGGACGCTGCTCCTTGGAAACTCCCTTTCCCCCTCCTTTTTTCAACCTCTTACTTCTCTTTCCCTGCATGTGACCCCTGACTCTTTAGGAAACCCTGTGCCAGATGGCCCCTCCTCACTGGTGATGTCTTCGCTGAGCTTCCCATGGTCTAGAACCAGACTCATCCTTTGAAAATCTAATCTATCTTGGTGAAATTTATTATATTACAGAATCCTCCCATGCAAAAGGACAGTTTCTTTTTTTTTTAATTTAAAGAAAAAAAAAACAGAAAAAGAGTAGAAATAATACATAATTTTAAAAAAACAGTAAGAAATCACTGGTTGATAATTAACTATTGTCCTCTTAGAAACAGTTGTTCAAGTTACAAAAGTGAAGCAGAGAAAGTGGACATTCAAACAGCGAGACTGCAACAGTATTGTTCAACTATCTAACAAAAACCTAGGAATATGGTTATCAATCCTACACACTTCAACATACATGCAGTTATATCCTTTAGAGCACTTTCTTTTCCTCTCCTTTTTACAATAGCAATTACACATTTTGGGTTTTATTACTCCTACAGTTCTTATTTCTTTTTACACTACAGACATAATGTGATATTTATAAATATGATTCTTATTTATTTCACTAATGAGGATAGCCTCAAGTTGTCTCCATTTGCCTATGAAGGCCGCAAGATCATCCTTTTTTATAGCAGAGTAATATTCCATTGTATAAAAATACCACATCTTTTTCATCCTCTCTGTGGTTGATGGGCATCTTGGTTGTTTGTTTCCAAGATTTAGCTATTACAAATTGTGTTGCCATGAACCTGTGTGCACATATATCACTGTGATATGACCTTTTCAGTTTTTGTGGGAAAATACCCAGGAGGGGAATAGCTGGATTGAATGGAACTTCCAATCCTGGTCTTCTGAGAATTCTCCATACTGACTTCCACAGTGGTTGCACCAGTCTACACTCCCACCGACAGTGGAGCAGAGTTCCTTTTTCCCCAGCAGCTTCGCCAACATTTGTTATCAGTTGTTTTCTTGATGGCAGCCATTCTTTCTGGGTTGAGATGAAATCTCAAACCTGTTTCAATTTGCACTTCTCAAATGACCAGTGATGGTGAACATTTCTTCATGTATTTATTCGCCATTTGTATATAAGGACAGTTTCTTTTGTCTTTCTCTTTCTGTTACTAGAATCTGCCTTTGTCTGTTCAAATTAGACTAAAATCTATTGTCTTTCTACTGTTACTAGTATAGATTAATAAATACGGGATTTCAGTTTTGCTTTTCTTTTAACTTTTGTCTTTGGCTCTTTCTGCCTGTGGGCTCTCTTTTGCTTCCTTTCTTGGCCTGTTGGTTTCCATCTTTCTCACAAAGTACAGGTCTAGCTGTGGCGCTCCTTCAGTCACTTTTGATTACCCGTCATGAATAAAGTTTAAACCTCCTAGGTTGGGACTTAAGCTTTCAAAACGCTGGTCCCAGACCACGCCTCCACCCTTGCTTACCCCTCTTGGCGCTCTGTGGCCAGTGCTCCAGGACTTGGGCCAGTGAGCGGCAGCCCTAAGTCATGCAGAGCTGCGTGGTCGTCACGGGCTGAGTCTCTGCGGTCACAGCGAGCAACCTGCTTGTTACTTTCCTTACCACTAATAACCCGTTTGGGGCCGGATTTTAGCAGATACTCTAGAAACATTTAACCCATTTCACCACTGTAAGAAATAAGTCCTTGGACTTGGAAAAGTTTTCCTCTCAGAAATATTCTCTGCCCAGTTTCCTTTTTCACTGAAGAATTTTTTTAAATTAAGTGAATTTGCTTTCCAAGTGAAATTTTATCAAATGTTAGAAGAATTTGCTTTCAGAAGAATTTTTTTGTGTTCTCATAATGGAAGGAACAGACTGAGAAATATTGCTTGTAGTTTTGTCAGATTTCATAAGTTTCAAAAGTTTTCATAATATTGGACACTGGAAGGATTTATAAAAGGATTTTCTCTCCCTCCTTTTGTCTTTTTTCCTTGTAAATAAGCTAAAATGCTGCTGCAGGGATTTCACTATATAGAAGTGATAAGACAGCTACACTATTTTATCTTTGTCCTGTTTCACCAAGTTTTTTAAAAAAAGAAATTGGCAAATATACATTTTTGCATGTAATATTACTTCATAGAATAGTTTCTTTCATTCCAGTGCATTCTGACATTTTGGTACTTTTCTTTGAAATAAACTGCAGATGTAGCCTTTTGCAAGGGGCTGGAGCTCCCCTATACTTTGCCTTTCCCCCCTCCTTTCTAAATGCTTGTTTGGCCTGTTCTGTTTTCCTGTACTCAAAAACAAAAACAGTAATGAAACACCAGTGAAAACAGGAAGTGAGGCTGAATTTTGATTTCAATGTTTCTAACCAAAATTCAACCATATATCTCAGGAAACTTTACTTCTTGAGAGGATTTGAATGACCTTCACGCATACAAAGGCAGCAGGAGACTCAGAAGGAACTCCTACTTCTCCAGTAGGACTTCTCCAGCCTCTTCTGAGGCACCTTTAGAAGCTCTGTCTTTGTCATGAGCCATAATTTAATTTACTAAAAAAATGCAATAATCTTTCATTAAGCTAAGAGCACTTCAAGGCTCTATGCCCCGTAGGTATTCAATTCTTATTAATTAACAGTGATGAGGGAAGGCTGCCAGTGTGATTGTCATTGACATCATCCCAGGAATATATTTCTCTTTGGTTTTCTTTTTCTCTTATGCTAATACCAGAGGTTTCCTTGAATTCCTTATATTATCCAGGGAAAGATTTTGTACTGAGCTTTCCCTCTAACTCTAAAAAATATTATCTTTTGAAGACAGATATATCAAAATCTCAGGTTACTAATTTGTTATGTATTTTTTAAAGCACTTTTCAATTCCAGAGAGATTTATAAGGATTAACCAGTTAATCTTTGTGTCCTCAGTTAGCAGGATTAACCCCAGTTTATGGAGGCTAAGAAGACATACCTTAGAGTCCCACAGTAGATAAGGGTCTGTTTGAAGTTTAGACACCTGTCATATTTTCCATTGCAGACCACGCGTAGTGTGAATTTGCAGTGAGGCACTCAGAGCGCGTGGATGTTGCTGTCCCGGGAGTTTTCTGACTTGACGTAAGCAGCTTTTCCCCTGTAAGAGAAGGAGCACGGTGCAGGCTGCCGGATCCCACTGTCAGCCTGGCCACTAAACGGATCTGTGACTTGTGACCTTTCTTCTATCTCTAGATGAGAAAAATGACACTCAAAGAAAGGTTAATAGAAAGAACTATTTGCTTTGCTAACCTCATGGGGCTGATGTGTAGGCCAAGCAGAGAGTAAATAGCAAGATTTTATGAACTGCTCCTTGCTCTATAGTTGAGTGTTGCATACAGTTCTTTTTATTTTGTATAGAGCTTTATAGTGTTTATGTAATTTATTTTTTTATTTTAAAAAAGGATAAAACCAAGGAAAATAAAACAGGATAAAACCAATCAAAATAAACTAGTACTTAAGAGATATAGGACTTCAAAACCTTATGCAATCAACAGTAGTTACAGTAACGCTTTTTGTTGTCTTCAAAATAGCTGCAGATACCTTCAGACATGGTAAAAATCAAACAGAACAGAATAAGAGTAGAAACAATAAAAAACAAAACAATGAATGCAATGAAGGACTTCAAAATAAGCTAATAGTAAATCCAAAATGGCTACCATAATATGTCTTGCTGTTTTTTAAATAGCTGCTCCTGCTATCAAACAAAACAAAAGAGAATAAAATCCAACTCAAGAAAACACTGAGAATGATATGGTTTCCAGGCGGGGATCACTCCCTGGTGAGGCCTGGTCCTCTCTGCAGGCTGTGCATGGCGCTGACTCACAGAGAGAGCTTGGGTCTGGCTGCCGTACTCCAGCATCGGCCCACGCGTGGTGCTAGTTTCCAGGCAGGGACCTCCTCCTAGTGAGGCCTGGTTCTGTCTCTCCAGTCTGCGAATCTGTAATTTCTCATTTGACACATTTCCTGCATGTGGTTTGAAACTTTCGTATTTAGAATAGAATTCATTTCAGGGCAGATGCTTCTCAGACTTTATCCAAAACGATTCAGTTGGTGAAATGCCAGAAATAATCTCATCGCAGCATGTATTCTATCCAAGACGATCTCAGGACACACTGCAGTGGAACGCAAGGTGAGGTCCTCTGTAAGCTGTTTTCCAGGTCCACGTGTTTATGAACATGGTGCACGGAGAGGAAGGCACAGTATTTCCATTATTACATAGCCTAGAGTCTCTTGAACATCAAGCGCAAAGCTCTTATTTCCTGGGAAAGAACCTGAGAGTAGAAAGACTTGTATAATTAAGTAGTAACTGAGGAAACCTGAATTTTACCTGGGATATTACCTCTTTTTATTCTTAGATGGAGTTAGACTCATTGCCTAGCCATACAGTAGCACTTTAGAGTTGTTGTAAGTGAAATACTTGCTCATTTGTATCAATCCCAACAATGCCGCCGAATCTAGTGCCTTTATTTCTCTTAATGATCTAAGATAGTAACTACATTACATGTATGTGTGTGTGTTTGTGTCTGATTGTGCACAATACCTTATCTGATTCTTGTAACTTGAAACTAGTCACAGTAAGTTAAATGCCCCACGGCTGCCGGAAGACCCTACAGGCCTGGGAGTGGGGTATAAATAATTTCCTAGAGCTTGCATTGGTGACTGTCAGGCCCATTCTGCAGGACTCTGATTGCTGGTTTATCTAATGAGGTGCCTGTCAGTCTTGGATTCCTGGTCTACCCCATCTTGAGTTTGGAGGTTCCTCTGTACCCACTGCTCTGATTCTTGACCTTGGCCTCTCCTGATCTCTGCTCACTTCTTATTTCTATGTTTTTTTTTCACGTGCCTGTGTGTGTAATCTGCAATTCCTTTTTACTTAGTTATACTATTTAAAACTTCAAAATACTGTCCATTTTTCATGTCCTTTGCTAAAATACTGACACCAATTTTATATAAAGTCACAGCATTCCATAGTGTCAGAGAATTATCTGGAAGACCCTCAATCCCCAGCAGAACAGGGCTATATAGTTTTAAAAATGTGATTTCATTCTGCATATTATTCAACACGTTTCTTTTTTTCCCCTCACAAGTCTATTTTGAAGCTTTTTTCCTACATCTGTGTATCTAAATTTTCATTCTTTCCAAATTTTCCATAGAATTCCTATGCCATTTTGGCAATACGCAGCCTGGGTCACTTAAACCCTGTCTCAAGACAAAAAATGACAAAATGGTTGAGGATGTAGCTCAGTGCAAAGGATCTACATTCAGTTCCCACTACCCCTACTCCCCCAAAAAACATTTCCTAAGGATGGACTTTGACTTGTCTGCAATTATTATTATAAATGATGCTTCTGTTATTTTTGTTATTCATATACTGCGTATTATTGTTACTTAACTTGAGTATGGCTTAAAAATAAATTCCTTGTGGTGTGGGTCAGAAATCTACATTTAAAATTGGTAAATGCAATTTAACCCTCCAAAATATTCTACAAAATTTATAAATTCCATTAATAGTGAGTGTGAATATATATTTGTCTGTACCATCACCAGGCTAGATATTACCGTTTAACTTTCAGATGAACACTTCAGATTTCAATGTTCAGATATTTATTTGTCTTTCTACTGATGAAAGTGCACATTTTATTAGGTGTGTATTGGTTGCTTTCCTTTCATCTCTTATCTGTGAGTCATTTTCGAATAGCCTTTATTTGCTTTTTCTATTATGATTTGGCTTAGAGATTTGCAGGAATCCCTTCATATCATGGGTATTAGCCCTTCCCCTCCACCTACCCTTCTCTGCCTTCCAATCATTGTCCCCACACTGTTGCTGTGATTTTAACCTTGCTTGTAGTGGTTCTGGGTCCACACTGTGTTCCAGTCTCTCCAAATGTTTGTGTAGAAAGCTTTGTTCCCATTATCATTCAGACTTGTGCAGTGAGTGGGGGAAAAAAAGAGTTCACAAGCCGAGGACATGCCTTTTTATTATGCCACTTATCTTTGAAGGTTGTTCTTAAAAAGAAAACCTAATGGGTGGGGAAGTCCTAAGTTATTGCATCATATCCCAGTGAACAGATTTTTTCTAAGTTTTAAAATCAGCCCTGTATGTATGTATGTATATAGAAATACTTAGGAAGGAGGAGAGAGAATTGTAGCTGTACATCGCTATTTATCTACCTACATGCCTATCTGCTTATGGTTGATTTAATGCTGTTTTATAGTGACTGAAAAGATTAACTTCTGCACTGGAGTCAGATGAGCTGTTCTGAGCCGGCAATTTGTTACAACGATTCTGTTTTCATTTGTCCACATGCTTCTAGATTCAATTGGATCTGTCAACATAAACCGTGTTCCATGGCATGGAGTCTGCAGTTTATTGACCTAAATATATGGAGCAATTTGCTAAAATACTGACACCAATTTTATATAAAGTTGTAGTGTTCAGTAGGATCAGAGAATTGTCTGGAAGACCCTCAGTCCCCGCAGAATAGAAATGAAGCCCATGTGGTGGTGGACACATTCAGTGCCTCTGCAGTTGTGTCCATTGTTATTACTCTCTCCCACCTGCCAGCGACCAGTGATACAAAGGTCTTTGTAGGACTATGACAAGGTCTTTGCCCTGAGCTTAGAATTCAGGGAGTGCTAATCGATCTGTAGGTTAGTGCATACCAGAGTGCAGAAGATGGGAGAACCTAGAGGAAAGGATACAAAATGCAAATGACGCAGACAGGATGTGGAGAAGGATCACTGTGTCTAGTGACTTTTGAATTTGTCTTTAAAATGTGAGCTTGGTTTCGCCAGTGGGTAAATAAAGGAAAGGGCATGTAGGGAAACATCCCAGGAATTGCTGCAATGCACCGAGGTGGAAACTTCAACAGCAAGTTCCTGACACGTGGCTGTAGTGTGAGATGAATGCTAGCACTGGAAAGCAGAGACCAGCGCCTGGCCCGAGACTGTTGCAGTTCCTACACACGATGCTGAGAAACTAGACTTTCTCCTGAACGTATGACCTCACACAGGAGAGGAACAGGGTCAGCAGTTTAGCCAAGTGCGTGACTGATGCCTTTGAGCTGGCACAGACTCTGCTAGAGGTCATCGCGGTGGCCCCTTAGGAGGTACTGCAGGCCTGTGAACCAGAGAAGAGGAGAAGGGTTAGAGATGGATTTAGATGGTGGGGTTAGTAGGACTTATGGCCAAATATAGATGACAAGACCAAGAGACGGAGAAAATGAGATGGGCTCTGGACTGAAGTAGATCGGGCAGCTAGAAAGAGGTTGCAGTTGCAAAGCAAAAACATAAGTATGGAAGGAAAAAAGCCAGCTTGAGATCTGTTTGGTACAGTGTAATAGGAACCACGGAGTGTCCAGGTAGAGTTGTCAAAAGGGGAAAGTGCTGGGCTCGTGTCAAGGTGGAGGTCAGGGGCAGACATCTAGGTTTACTTAGCCGCCGCGTGCTGCATGCAGCCCTGAGAGCCAGTGGGAGGGTCCACGTGAGTGTGTGTGTTGCAAAGAAGATGCTGTGATGATGAGCACCAGTGTTTAAGGAGAAGATCATGGCCAGGCGGTGGCAGAGATGTGGTCTGTTCTGCTGATGGATTTGTCCCTGCACTCCATAAGTCTCAAAAGAAAGATGTTAGAGAGGGAGACAAAGCATCTGGAGAGCTTGAGAGGGAATCATCGGAGGGGGAGGAGGAGAATAGGCGTTAAACGCTAGCTACTGCTTCAGCCGCTGACCACAGGAGAAGATATTTTCAAGAAACAGACCTGTGGGCTGCTTTTCAAAGCTGCCAAGAGGTAAATGTGGGTGCTGGAGATTTCAGTGAGCCACCTGGAAGACAGCAGCTTCGGGTGGGCAGGGTGGGTGTGAAAGCAAAGGGAAAGTCAGGTGCCCGCAAGTTACTGAGGTGTAAGGGGGAGGAAGCCAGCACGGACAGCGCCTGAAGTGCTGTCTGGTTGAGGCCCTGTGAGCCTCGTCTGGGATGTGCGAGTGTGTGGCTTTGTCCTGTGCTGTCCTGCCATACCACCATCTATCAGGCTATGCCTGAAGCAGTGACCTGTGACAGTGGTTCTCGACCACTGACCACTGCCCTAGGTGTCAGCATCGTATCAGAACCTGTTAGAGGTGTGGTCTCTTGGGTCTGACCCTTTAGATACCCAGGGACAAGGTCCCAGTATGTGTTTTAAGGAGTCTGCTGATGACACTCTAAAGTTTGAGAATCACTGGCCAGTGGAGCAATTTTGAGAGAAAATAGCATGGTTGAGCTGATTTGCCTCTGAAGAGTGAACTTTTGAACGAATTTGAAAGTGCAGAGAGGAATTCCAGACCAGAGGGAAGAAGTCCCTGCAGCGTGGCTGGGGCCAGCGTTCCTCTGTGCAGAGGTCACAGGACCCAGCTGCCTTGTTCCCCTATGGTGCCTCAGATACCTTCTCGCGATATAAAACATGATTACCCAAGGTCTGGCTCTGCTTTAATAGAATGTGATTTTACTTGATTGGTTCTCGGGTTTTATTTTTCTGTCCTGAAAATAATTTCTGATATTGTTATGGTTTAGATCTAAACTGTCTCCCAGGTTGGGCTTTGGGAAGGTAGTTGGATCATGGGATGCTGTACTCATCGGTGAGTTAATCCATTGGTGAGTTCACAGCTGAATGAGCTGTTGGGAGCTGGTTGAAGGAGGAAGCTGCGTTTTTGTCCCTGGACCTTTTCTACCTCCCTGCTTCCTGGCTGTCATGAGAACAGCAGTTTTCCTTTGCTATGCTCTTCTAACACACCGTTTCTGCTGTGGAGCCAGCCATGAACTGAACCCTCTGAAACCTTGAGCTAAAATAAACCTCCCCTCTTTTAAATTGTGAATGTTGCGTATTTTAGCCCATCCATGGGAAAGTGACTGATACAGTTATTTTTAGCTCTAGCATGTTACATGGATGCAAATGTTGGATAAGATGGAAACACATGAATGTTTCTGTTGATACTTCTGCAAGTTTATCAAAACATTTGTTTTTATCCTACTAGGTCTGTGAGCTGGATATTATCTTTAATTTTGAAAAGGCGTATTTTATCCTGGATGAATTTATAATAGGTGGAGAAGTTCAGGAAACATCTAAGAAAACTGCTGTTAAAGCCATTGAAGAGTCTGACATGTTACAGGAGGTAAGTATAACTTTATATACACTGGAAAAGATGATGATGATAATGGAAAAGATGATGAGGTGATGATGGTGGTGGTGATGATGGTGATGATAACAAGTATATTAACCAACACTCAGTATTTTGTACTAGTTATAAATTCTAAGCAATTTACCTGCACTAGCTTACTGCTTTCAGCAACTCTTTTAGAAGTAGGTAGTACTGTTACCCCATTTTACAGATAAGCAAACTGACACATACAGAGATTAAATGGCCTGCTCAGTTGGACCCAGTGGTATGGGACAGAGATTTGAACCCAAGCAGTTGGGCTCCTAAGTCTTTTCTCATCCTATTTGGCCGAGCTTTTAATGTGAAGATACCTCACTGTCAAAAAATGTATCAAATGCTTAGTGCTGGTTTTTGCAAAAGTAATTTTATGAGCTGTATAAAAGGACTATCATTAAAATATCTGTGCTGCCTTGGGAAAGGAGAATAGCAGCACATAGTTATTTTATTTGCTGGGAATATTAGAGCTTTTTTATTGAAGATGGCATTTATCATTTTAATTAAAATTTCTTACACCTCCCGGGAAGCCTGTGTGTGTTCCTGTTTGCATAAATAAATTGCAAACACCAGGACTTGCTTGCAGTGGTGTAAATGGCCCTGAATCATCCTTTTGGTACTGCTCCTGACTCTGTGTGCGAGGTGTACTTAAAATGTACAGGACTTTTCTTTTAGGAGCAGCCTTGAATTTGCATTATACCTAACTGGGGAACTTAACCCACAGTAGTCCCCTATGTCCTCCGCAGCTTGCGTGTGTGTCCTGGACTCTGGGGTTCTATCTCTGCTCTGCCACTGCTGGGTGCTTCTCAGACATCAGTGCGTCTTTCCACCTTCCTGCTTTATAACAGCAAGTCAAGAGGAGGCTGAGCCTTATAAAGTGGGGGACTTGGTGTTAAAGCCATTTGTCCTGCTGTTCGGAAATGCAAAGTTAAATTAACGAAACAGTATTGGGCATGATTTCCCTGATTTGGGGCCTCTTTGAACTGATCATTTTCTCCTGCCCCTCAGGAATTCCATCCTCCTCTGAGTGAACAGGAAGCCAGGTATCTATTTGAGTGGGCCCTCCTAAGCAGCTCTGGGGGCCTATCAGAAGGCCAACACATTCATTACTAGAGGTGTTCTCCCTTAGAAATGTATTTGAACTCTGATATTTACCTGGCTCTCTCCAAATACTTCAGGAAGGAGATTTTATAAGGCACTAGAGAAATCAGTGGTTTGGAAATTCCTTAGAATCATGTTTTTTAAAATGTGTTGGTAGTTGAAGTTGTTATAATGGTATCCTCAGGTCCTTAAGGTGGGATCTCCTTGTAGGAGAAAACAGGCTTTTCACAGGTGCTCCAGTAGGTAGAGCTTCCTGTTTTGGGGTCAAGGCACCCATGATTTATATTAAAATCTATCCCTACCCCTGCACTACTGAATATAGCATATGTTAAAGAGCTTGCAATGTAGTTTCTAGTTCTACTGAAATCTGGGGAACAGATATTTCACAGGAGAGTTCTTTTGCAATTCAGCACTATTGGGGGTTCAGATCTCTGGGGAATGAGCAGGGAATGCCATGGCTGCCCTGAAATTGTTTTTGTTGAATTAACAGCACCTCCCAAATAGAGAATATGTTATGGTTTTCCTTTTGGGCCCTAGTACCTACCACAGTGAATTCAGAGAATGTTTTTGGGAGCACGTTGAAAACCTGAATGCATATGTATTCTGCTTGAGAAAGTTTAAAAGCAGTAGAAGAAAATGAGATAAGAGTATAAAGGAAAAATCAATTTATTGTCTGTTCTTTGGACCAAAGCACATGGTTTTAGTGCCTGTAGGTTAAGGAGTGACTTTGCTTTCACTTTTCAAGCAACTGTAGACTTTGAAGTAGGCCTGCACCTTTCCTTAGTCTCCATTTGATAAAAGTTTCATGGGGGAAAAAAGAAAGAAAAAGCTGGCTTCACATATTTAGTGTGAAGAAACATGGTCTCAAATCTTCAGAGGCTCACAGTGTATTCTGAGTGTAGTGCAGCTAGATGCTGGTAATAGGGGAGAAATGGCTTAATTGGTTGGGATGACTTACTTGGAAGAAAGGATCAATAGTGTGAAGATGACAGTTGTTAGAAGGAAAAAGAATTCAACAAGAAAGTACCCAAAGGTTGCAATTCCTACAATCACCAGTGGGGGCAGCCATCAGCAAATATCTTACACAATAAGCATGTTAAGGAATGCTAAGCCGTGTCTCAGCTCAAGCTGGATGATACCCCATGTTTGTGTGGATGCATGGGCACCTATTTGATGCACCCCAACACTGTTACCTTTCAAAGCATAAGCCGTGTTAACAACTAAGCCAAACCAGAATGTGGCAGAAAGTCGTCATGCATACAGTGCAGAATGTGTAAGAAATAGCACAGTGCTAGCAGAATACAGGAAACCCAAGATACATACTGCATCCTTACTGTTGGGAAAGCAAGATCAGGGATTCTTAAAATTTGCATGCATTTTTTTTTTGTCTTTTTCGTTTTTATCGGTACCAAATATCGAACTCACAACTGCCTGCTTCCAAGGCAGGCGCTTATGCCGTTGAGCTAAATCTCCAGCCCCAATTTGCATCAATTTTTAAAAAGTCTGTTCCAAACCCTTCAAGTAGCGAGTTCAAGTGGCACAAGCTCTTGACTGGCAAGTACAAGGTCCTGAGTTCAATTACTGGTACCAAAAAAAAAAAAATGCCTTACTGGTTCATGCATGGCTCAGACAGGCAATCAGTGCAGGGTTTAATGGCTGGAGTCGTCTGGTGGTATAGGATGCGTCCCCATCCAGGGCCTCTGACTTATCCAAGCTTCTCCCAGGCTGCAGAAATGGCCCGAAAATGTGCTCAGATGCTGACACAGTTAAATTTGCAAAAGTAAAATAAGTTAACTTAAAAGCTATACAATGAACATAAGATAGTAGAGAGGAGAGTCAAGCATTTAATTAATGAAAATAGATGCTATTCTGGGTTTTGTAATATTTATACTCTTTAACTATTAGTAACTTATCATTTCTGTTTTCATGCTAAATAAACTATACCTAATTGTGTTTTTATAACTTTGTGTTCCTTTTTAAAATGGCATGAGCTCTTCGCTCCACAAAGCTAGCGTGGGTTCTGTCTGGCCAGTGTGATTCCCCAGCTAAGTAATAAACATGGATGGTGTCTTTAGGAAGAAGTACAGGGAGAGGTTTTCTGTGGACCAGGGCTCATTTAGAGGGTTCAGAGCTTGAGAAGAAAGTGGGGATGACTGAATATAAGGATTTTGAACAATAGAGCCCAGGGATTCAAAACAAAGCAGCAAAAGCAGTTAGAGAGCCAGATTTTTAACCTGGTGTCCTTTAGGCAGCCTGCACAGCCAATGGTCTTAGTCTCTTTAGCCTACATGGCAGTGTTTCCTGGCAGGTTTGAAGGAATCGCCTATGCTGGTTTCCAAGCCTAGGAACACATCAAGCTTTGATTGCTAAAGGTGTTGTTGGTGGTGGAAGAAGCAGGGTGTTGCCTATGGATAACTTGCAGCCCCCTTGAGCGCTCTTATTGATTAAACCTGCAGCTATGGTGTTACACAAGCACCCAAGCCAGTCCTAGGAGGCAGTGTAAGAGAAAGCACCGTCACTGTGTAACTGTATAACTGCTTGTAATTGTACATCTTTTCGAATGTACCAACACACACACACACACACACACACTGGAAGAAAATGATAGCTTTGTGGCTTGTTAGCAAACTTGGTAACTGATGAGTAGGATAGAGAAATAATTTTTTGTATACTTTGGAGGAAAGTCTTTTCAAAACACATGCCAGAAGTTCTTCATAGTCATGATGTGTCATGACTTTTATGTCATGGCAATAAGTGTGATAGAGTTGTTCTACCCAATATAGGGAACAGTACATCAGTTACACAAGTTCACTTGAAGTTTTTCCTGGTGCATGTGCCTGGGTGTGATCTCTGTGATCACTTTGGCAGACATTTATTTTAAATCGACAGGGACACGTTGATAGCTGTTGCTTTTGCATTTCTCTTGTAAGACATTCATTTTATGACCAAGCATAGCTTTTTCTCAGTTGAAAACTATATATAGTTCCAGCCATATGATTGTATATACAAATGATACTCAAACTTTGAGCCACCTTTTTTGATTAGCATATAAATATTTATGTCCACATATGTTTTTGAAAACCTTCCTCAGGAATAGCAAAAAAACAAAACAAAAAAAACCCCCAAAAAAACCCCGAAGTATGAAAGAATGAAAAAAATTTCAAAAAAGGATGTGATTTAAGAGAGAATTGTTCTAATTCACTGTTTTCTTTCAGACAATGGAAGAATACATGAGCAAACCTACATTTTAACTGTATTGCAACTTGAAGACTCCGTGCTACATGCTGTGAACCTTGAATGAGTAATGCCCTGCATCCAGTCTTGACAGAGCCTTTAAACACCATGCCAAAAAATGACTTAAAGGGATTCTTTATTAACTAGCAAATATTAAAGTCATTTAGCGTAACATATTTATAATTGCTACTTGTCTGTATTATACTATATATGAGTGTTTACTGTGCCTCCGGTTGTTTGAAATGACAGTTGTATAACTCAGTCAACTGAGTTATATTTTATATTTTAATTCCATGTGATATTTTAAAAGCTAATTTCAAAATATTATTTGTGGTATATTTGTGTTGCATTTGATCTTTTACTGACGGTTCGAAAACCTTTGGGTAACCCATGATATTGAGTGTAAAATATACCTTATATCATTATTACCTTTCCTAGATGTTTAGTTTTCTAAGTTGTATATGAATTGAAAGTTATGTTAATGTTCAGAGTTCATAGGTAAGGAGAGACAATTTTAATATACTTAGTAATACTGTAATCCCGGCCAGATACAGTGTATCTGATGTTTATGTCTTGAATTCATTTATTTTTGTCAGGGTTGGAATTAAGGCAGATAACCAAAGAGAGTATAGAATTTAATACAAGTTTTTGATGCCTTAGAAGCTGCTGTGTAGGCTGAGGTTTTAATTTTGACTTTTAACTAATATAAGGGACATTTTGATAAATTTAAGTTTTCTACAAACTGCACATTTAGGTCTCAGAAGATTTGGAGATACCCTGTCTGTGATATCCCTTATTATCAAAATAGTATGATAGTGTTTGATTACAATAGCAATAATTATCATTGCTACTGCTATTGTAAAAGTCTCTTAATATTCCAACAACTCCTATCCACTTGAGAAATTTTGTTTCAAATTTTTTCTGTCAGTTGGCTATCACTGCAGCATACATGGTAGATTCCTTTCCTCTCTTTTTCCTCTCCTTCCCTCTGAAGAAATTATTTGCTGCTGACCATTATTATTGTGACTATGTCACCTTCATGCTTTCTGGAATGAAAATACTACTTGACTGGTACTAAATGTGAAGAGACATGTGTTGGGGAAACAGCCCAGTGTATTTTGTCTTGGTGCCTATCTCTGACCTTTTCCTGCTCACGTTCGACGATAGCTTCAAGGTCTGTGTCACTCAGAGTGCAGGGTTAGGGACCCTGTAGTGCTTTTCCCATGACAAGTATGTGCTTGCTCCTGGTTTCCTTGGGTGACCCCTTGTGGGAGACCTTAGAGAACACAGTGGAAAATTGTTTTTGGTTCAACTGAGCAAATAAGTTTGGGAGAAATTAGCAAGACCAGAACAGAAGAAAAGGGTAACAAGTTAACCCATTCTTCAATAAAACCATTTCTTAAAAAAAACTAATTCACATTACTATATGAAGTAGTCATTTGGCTTTTAATACCTGATATTTCTTCAAGGTGATGATAAATTAAAATTATGAATGAGCTTAAAGTTTATCATTTTGATCATTTTGTTTAGGAGCTCTTCAGTTTTGTGCTTTAATGTTTTAAAAAAATATGATAATCCTTTTCAAAACAATTTTGTAAAGATAGACTTTAGTTTTTCTGGCTCCTTTTCACTATTTTTGTGTGAAAGTATCTCGAGCCTCAAAATACACCACATATAATCTGAATAATTCTATATTTAACACTGCCAGGCTGCACACAGGGTTTCTCAGGCTTCCTGTCAGGATCACGCACAGAAAATGGTTATACCTATGTGGCACACTGGGGTAAAGTTAAGGGACCAGGACATGTCTCATATGGGTGTTGGTAAAAATAATCATTGTTTTCTTTATATAACAAAAGCACCGAAGAACAGGAAAGACAATAGATATTCAATTTGTATAAAACTTCCAAATAAAATGTTTTTTAAATTTTTAAAGAGGATTCTGAGTGTGCTTTCAGGAATATATTTATTTTTTGTCAGTTTTTAATGCTTGAAATTGCTACCTGTCCTTCTTGGCCAAAGTCCTTTGAATATGCACTCTTCATTTTGTGTTACTTGCTATTAAGGAGAAACTGCACAAGTACGTGACGGCAAATAAGCGACTATTTATTGCTTTTGTTCCTGTTGATTCTCACCATTCACCTGCATTTTGATAATCTGCTTTATGTGCAATTAAGGAAGTGATCATTGTTTAAAACTAATAACTATTCTTTTTCTTTCAACAACAAGTATAGAGTTGAATATCTTTTTTTTGATAAAGCCAATAGGTCCCCCCCTTATTGAGTCTCCTAAAATAATGATAATAATTTTTATCAAGTATACTGTGCTTCAAAATCTAATAATTCTTTAGGATCCATATTATAATACCCATGAAACATTATTGGTGAACTGTATTTAATTTCACTTTCCTGAGGTTTGATCAATAAACTGTATTAGTAAGTGTTACATGTATTTTTCCACATGATGTCTGCCTACTTTGATGAAGTGCGTACATTCAGGTGCCCTGGCACACAAGGAAAGCATGGAGGTAGCAAGAAAAAGGCTGGAGAAAAAAGGGACAGTCAGCCTACCTCAGACCCTGCTTTCCTGGCTAGATCTGAGGCATAAGGGAACCAAGGAGAGAAATGGACCAAAGGGAGCAACCTGCCTGGGAGCCAGTTTTCTGGGTCTAGAGCTGTGTCCTCTGTTAGACGTTAGTTAGCCCAGGACCAGGATGCCCACATCTAAACACAGTGGGAAAAAGTAACTCAGTAACAGCTTACATACCGCACGCCTCTGGGCATGCACCCGGTGGTCTTCTGCAGCTATGACCAGCCCCAACCCTAATTACCCTGTTATTAACTATGCAGATTCAATATTCTGCCCCTTTCCCCCAGGGCTTTGACCTCCATGACATTTCCTCCAAGGGCTATCAAAGGTCAGAAACTCCACAGCATGATGAGAGGCTGAGCTAAGGTGTTCATTTGCACCTTAAATCCTAAGGCTTAAAAGCATCAGTACCCAAACCCCTCAGTGCCATGAGCTCTTCTCACTGGCTTGCTGTATGTATCTTGTCTCTTCCAAATAAATCTTTGATCCTGCTCCTACTCATAGCTGTCCTGTTTGGTGCTTTTTGAGAACATCGAGAACCTGGACAAGTCCCCCAACCCAGTAACAGAATGACTATTTTCCAATAATAGGTAAAGAATGGCCCATTATATTTTTTAAAAAAATAATTAACTCTTAAACTCTTAACAAAATTCTGTCCATTCAAGCCATGTGTTTTCATATGAAACAATAGTAATCTATTTGTCATATAGCACTAAAGCCAGAAAGATCTGTGACACCTAAGGCTTTATTAGGCTCATCTTTGATGGGACCAGGAGACGTGCAGTTCAGGCCCACAGACTCACTACTGGTAAATTTTTCCTTTTGTTGGACTCACACAGGAACGGAGTCTCAGGCTCTGCTCGGATCTGAACATTGCTATGCAACGTGCGCACTCTCCATCATTTCAGTGTTCATTTACTGTTTTGTTTCCTACTTCTTTTTGCAACTTTACTGCATAAAACATGTTCTAAATATTTCTCTTGCAGGATTATCATTTACTAACATTTACTAACAATTCATCTGAGAGGATACATTTATGATTTAACTGTTATGTTCCCATCTTTGACTGACCTTTATTTATCTATGAATATGATTCAAATGTGTTATCTCTTCTTTCACCTTTGGCAAATGTTGAGAATTTCCGAGTGAGCTGGTTAAGACAAGCAGTCCTGCGATTGTGTTATGTGGGCTTTTCCAGTCCTTAGCCTGACCTCATCACTAGATTCACAAATGATACCTAAGGTGGTTCTAACTTAAAAAATTTCTCTTCTAGTTTTATTATTCTACATAAAGTGTTAACTTTCTTTCTTTCTTTCTTTCTTTCTTTCTTTCTTTCTTTCTTTCTTTTTTTTTTTTTTTTTGGAGACAGGATCTCACTGTATATTTCAGGCTGGCCTTGAACTCACCCAGGCTGGCCTCAAATTCTCAGCAGTCTTCCTGCCTCATCCTTCCAAGTACTGTGATTATAGGCATGCACCACCACACCTGGCTTCATTTTTTTAATATAACATTTTCAAGTAAATTCTATAAGATATTTAGGCTAAAGAGAGGGAAGCATTATAAAGAACTTGGTTCCAAATGTAAGAAAGTCCTCTACTATATCAAAAGTAACTTAAACTTTGCTATTAGTTTTGTTGTTGGTGTCTACTGAATTTTTTTTTTTTTATCGGTACTGGGGATTGAACTCACGACTACCTGCTTGCAAAGCAGGTGCTTATGCCGCTGAGCTAAATCCCCAGCCCCGTCTATTGAATTTTTGAAAGCTTCAGTTTCAGGTTTTTTTCATTATGGTGAGAAAATATCTACAAAATTTAAGACTATCTAAATGTAAAGAACTAAAGAAGTTGTAAACATGTGGTAGAAATTAAGATAATTTATTTTGGTGATTTGCATTTATATGGTATAAAATACAATGTAAAATTAAAGTGCAATAATTATTTTGAAAATTAGTGCAGTTAAAAAATGGAGGTTTTAGAGGACCAGGAGTATACTTCAGTGGCACTGGCATGCCTGGCAAGTACAAGGTCTTGAGTACAATGCCTGGCTCAAAGAAAATTGGAAGTTTCGAAATTTTAATTTTTACTAACTAAAATAATCTTTACCAAAACCTTAATATTACTTTTACTTATGCAGAATTAAATGCATTTTGGAAAACCTATTATCTATAATTAATTGATTTAATTAAATGATTTTCATTGTTAGGAAAAAGCATTATTTTATTTTTGGAAACAGTGTAAAATGAAATTTTATCATGAGTCAGATTTTGACTAACTAAAAACCAAAGCAAAACTGATAGATAAAAGATTAAGTAAAAAAGACATATTAATGAGAAAAATGAACAGAATTAATTATATATTTTATTTGAAAAATCTAATCTCATATGATAGTAATAATAACCATAACATTTTTATACAATTATTTGAAAAACTTATTAAACTATAGAAACAGAACAAATGAAGTTGGGAGAACACAAGTAATTTAAATATACACAAAGTACCTCAAGAATGATAAGACATAAGATAAAAATCAGATGAGCTGATTTTTGGGGGGGGCTGGATCTTGCTATATAATGCTAACTCACTTGCTATGTAGCCTTGGCTGGCCTCAACCTCATGGTGATGCTCCTGCTTCAGCCTCCCAAGTGCTGGGATTACAGGCATGTGCCAATGCACCCAGTTCAAATAGGCTGATTATAAAAGGAATTACTTTGAATGAGAATGTTTCTCTCTCTCTCTCTCTCTCTCTCTCTCTCTCTCTCTCTCTCTCTCTCTCTGGTACCAAGGATCAAACTTACAGCATTGCGCTTGCCAGGTAAGTGCTTGTGTCACTGAGCTAAATCCCCGGCCTTTGAGTAAGAAATTTATTCTAGCCTTTTATCAGTGATTCTATACTGTATTCAAAATCCTGTAACCCAAAATACATAATGACTAAACTCAGAAATTTTTCTGAGGCAGCCATGCAAATACTATAAAAATATAATTTCAGTGCTTATGAAGTTTCAAGTCAATACAAATAGCTTCATTTCTTCTTATCTATATGATTGTCGGCAACCAATCTCAGATCCAACTGGTGGGTCATAATTTAGATGTTTGGAGCCATTTGGCTATATATCCTATTCGTAATTAGCTTGAGCATCACAGTACATTAGAACCAGAGCACAATTGACTGGAACTTACTCTGTCCTGTTGCCACTGATGATGCTCATGGACTTGCTCCTTGGAATGGGCAGGCTGTCAGACAGGATCGGCAAGGCCAGCTGGTCCAAAGCCCTCATTATAGAGCAGAGGGCAGAAAATCCTCTTTATGTTTCATTAACATTCTATCTTTGATTGTGTCTCAGTGCCAATCATTTATTTAATTAAAGCTTGTCTTGATCAAAGGTGTTACTCCATGAAGGTATTTGATGAGCCTGTTTTCTGGTATGAAATACCAGAAAGTGATACTCAAAGCATGAGTTTTTAGTCTTAAATGATACATGTGAGGTATATTGAGTGCAATGTAAATGAATGGAGACAGTAACACAGTAGAAAAGAGAACGAATCCTGGAATATGGGCAAAGGATGAGTTACCAAGCTTGTGTTGCTGACTCTTACAGATGGAACATGTCACATGTTTCAGAGGAAAGGAGAGGACAGAGGAACATGTGTTTTACTGGAGTTGAATTCATAGTCCGGAAAAATGGCTGTTGCAATATTTGGCTAAGGCTTGGCATTTCAACTTCATTTAGGCATAACTAGCAAGAGAGACCTTTGAATTTGTTTCTGAGCTGAGAATCAGTGTTACATGACAGCAAAGGCTGCTTGAGAGATGAGGCGGTGCCTGATGCTCATTTCCCAGCTCACTTCCTGCTTCCTCTAGAGGCATCATCGGGACTCCATTCCCAACCTCTTGGAGTTTATTTTACTTGTGGCAGAATGAAGAGCAGTGAAAGTCGAACTAACATCTGCCCCTTTGCAACTCTGGTTCATAAAACTCTCCTGGTAGCTCTCTATTCTGGTATCTTTTTTAATTCAAAGAAAAGGTCCCCCAGAATACAGGGAAGGCAGAGCCTTGAGGTGGAAGGACTCTAAAAGGAGGCCAGTCAGGAAAGCCACACCGAACTATTATGTGTGATAGAATCACATTTCTGTTGTGTGAAGTTCCTGAACTCCTGGGTGGATTTTGTTTTTTGTAGCAGGAAGCCACAGTGGGATAGCATTGGCAAGACCATGGAATCAACTTTATTTTTAGGAAAAGGAAAGAGAGCTTCCATTTCTTGAAAACAGTTAGTCCTTTAAAGCAACTAATTCTATGAAAGAGGGTGGACAATAGATATAATTATGTGAAAGCAACTAATTATATGAAAG